TGGCGGTTCATTCCGCTGTGGCGACCCCTGACAAATAAGGAACTAAGCTGAAGGAAAATGAATGAATGAATATTTCTTTCCAGCATAATGGCGTTTGCACTGTTGTAACGTGATTAATCTGTGAGCTGGTTAGTTTGGTTCACCTTAATATATTAAACTTCTTTACTGAAAGAAAATCTGCTTTACATTTACAGTCTATAGCTTGTCTGACAGTTGAAGAGATGCACAGAAGTGAATATGATGAGATGTACACACCAGATAATCACAGAGAGGCTGAAACGCGTGAGTCCCGCAAACATACAGATGTTCTTCATCCAGCACTTGCAAAACTCGAATGTAGTTTCGACAGTCCGTCTGTTCCACAAAAACAGAAATAAACCACAAACATTTACAAAGATTCCAGCATCAGTGACTGAATACTCAGAGTAAGGGCATTTTGAGTGTATTTTTCCACATTACCTCTTTAGATTTCCCCTTTAAAATACACATGGACATGTCAATGTCTGGAACTTTCCACAGGAGCTGAAACAGAACAGAGTTAATATAACATCATCACATGAGGGGGAAACAAATGCTGTGTGTGTGTGACTAGCATAAAGAAAATCTTCAGTGCTCTTTTTTTTCTAAGGCTATGTCAACACTAAAGGTTACTGCACACTAAATCTGAAATTTTAGTGTGCAATTTTCGCATGTTAAAAAATTAATTCAATCTCTGGTTGTGTGAATCGTACAGACACTGCCTCCCAAACTTTCATCTGCCTCAAAATAAATCATCTTTTTCCAGCTTTTAACATCCTAAAAAGCCTTTTGAGAGGTGTTTTGACAGCTCAGAGTCACCATACAAGCAAAAAGCTAAATACAGAATGCCGTCATTTGAGCTACAGATGACCTTATGACAAACACAGTACATAAAATAAAGACAGAGGGCTCTATTTTGACGGTCCATGCGCAGAGCGCAAAACGCAGGGCGCAAATGCTTTCAGGGCATGTCAGAACGCATTTTTGCTAATTTAAGGACGGGAAAATCCGCTTTGCCCCAAGGCGCATGGTCTAAAAGGGTTGAGTTTATTTTCTTAATGAGTTATAGGTGTATTTTAAGAATAAACCAATTAGAGTCTCATCTCCCATTCCCTTTAAGACCCAGCTGCGTCGCGCCATAAGTGCATTCGCTACTTACAGGACGTAAAGTAAGTCTAAGTGGAAAAACTGAGCATTTCACAAGCAAACAGTTACCAGTTTTTTAACAGAAAACAGTTAAACAGAGCATCTACTGCGTGAGAATAAGAGATAATGGATCTACTTTCACATTCGCTCGTGGATAGGGAAACCTTTACGCACAGACATCAATTAGCCTTTAAATAATATAAATAATTAATTTAGTTTGTTAAGCGCAAAGATTTGTTTCAAAACTATTTCTAAATTCAGTTCTAATTTCCAGCAAACGAATAAATGAACAATAATAACGAAGTGTGCTCAAAAACCTGAGTTATATCCTAAAACACATGATGTGCCCCATATGGTCTAAAACCTGACAGGTGGGCAAATCTAGGCTTGTTTTTAATAAAACAAATATAAATATGCATATAATAAATAATACTGCTAATAATAATAACATTATACAAAAGCAAATTGTTATGAATGAACTGAAAAAGCCTCCCGAGATGAAGAAGACATAAAAGCAGTTGTTTTTCATATTTATGTAGGCCAGAAAATAATATGTTTTGTAATATTTTAATCCTTTATATTTATATCCTATATCTATTACATCCTACATATATCCTTAATATTTACATGTTTTCATATGTAAAGATATTTGCCTATTGCTCTCTTGTGTGTATTAAGCAGTGTGTAAGCGAGGCGCAACTCTGCGCTGGAGTTTAGACCGGGTTTGTTTTGGTCTAATGAAAAATCTATTTTAGTTTCTTAAAATAGCAACGCGCCAGCGGCCCGCCTCACAACGCCTTCCTTTTTAGACCAGAACGCCTATGGGAGCACAAATGAGCGCTAATGCATTTGCTATTTAAACAGCGTAGCGCAACGCCTCAAAACCACTCTTGCGCCAAGCTGAAACTACCAAACAAGTATTGCGCTGCGCCTTGCGCCCCATTGCGCCAGTGTATGATAGGGCCCAGAGTATGGCGGACTGTTGAGAACCCCTATGCTCGATTCAGTGATTGACACATCTCTGCCCTGATGCTGTTTGATGTGTGTGTGTGTGTGTGTGTGTCTATACACGTTTCGTTTTCAGATGCGCAATTCATTTATTATAGAAGAACAAAGAAGTGACTTCTCCTGCTGAAAACGACTTTTTTCTGTCTCATATATTGGAGCAAGTTTACGCATTGGATGAAAACGCTGCTTTATTTGCAAACGTTTTATGCAATACTCCAGTTTACATTTTTGCATGGAAACCCATCTGTTGTATTCATTGTCATTCAGTTTGACTTTATGCCGGCCTTTACAAAAACCTCACACAAGCGCTCATTCATTTTTTGTAATTTGATGCAAAGATGATGGAATACATACATAAACACATATAAGGGCTGTGCAATTAATCGAAAATCAGATTTCGATTTCGACTTCTAACGTTTGTGAAAAACAGTTAATCAAGATAAACGATTATTGCATCATTTACCGCCCCCTTTTCAGTTGTACACGTGTTGGTCTTAAAAGCGCGAAAGACTGCATGATTCTGTGTGCCGCGCACACACAGAACAGTAGCGTGCAGTCAGCATTCGGTCTCACTCACACACTGAGACGAGGAGTGCGCACACATCTAACACCATCTTAACGTGAACGCTTTAATGGTCAAATAGATGTCAAAATGCTGTGTTTAGTGATTATTCATATTAACCCTCATTTGTGTAATAAACAAACGAGTTGAGGATCAAAAGACACACAAAAGAGAAACCATTAAAGAGACAGCGCGCGATAATTCTTCTACCGCCTGTTTTTATGATTATTAATCAAACAACAAATGGAGAACATGCCTCACTGCTCTTGACTGAAGGACTGCTGTAGCTAAAGTGTTTTTCTGACAGTGTAGATGCTTAAAGCACAGTTTGTTTCATATTTTTATTCTATTGTATTTATTTCTCTTTCCTTTGCAGGGTGGAAAATAACTGTTTATGCAGTTGAAGTCAGAATTATTAGCCCTCCTGAATATTAGCAGCCCTTTTCCCCCCAATTTCTTTTAAATTAAAAGAAGATTTCTAAACATAATAGTTTTAATAACTAATTTCTAATAACTGAATTATTTTTATCTTTGCTTTGATGACAGCACATTATATTTGACTAAATATTTTTCAAAATACAAGCATTCAAATTCAAAGTGCAATTTAAAGGCTTAATTAGGGTAATTAGGCAGGTCATTGTATAACAACAGTTTCTTCTGCAGACAATCAAAAAATATGTTGCTAAAGGGGGCTAATAATATAGACTTTAAAATGGGTTTTAAAATATGATTTTTGCTTTTATTCTAGCCAAAATAAAAATTAAAAAAAGCTTTTTTTCTAGAAGAAAAAAATATTATAGGAAATACTGTTAAAATTCCTTGCTCTGTTAAAACTCATTTGGGAAATATTTGTTTTAAAAAAAATTCTCAGGAGCGCTAATAATTTTGACTTCAACAATAATCGTTTTGAATAATCGTGATTACAATTATGACCAATATAATCGTGATTATGATTTTTCCCAAAATCAAGCAGCCCTAACACATATTAATATACATATTTTTAACACAAAAATCTAAATACTAAAAACTTTCCAGGATTTTAGATGCTGATGAGTGTTAAACGAGTCATAACAGGCTTGTGAAAAGGGTCTATGATGTATTGTTTGTCACCTGGTTGTTCTTGATGGAGATGTTGCTGATGTTGAGTTCATACACAGCCTCTCGAGCGCCCACATACAGAACACCTCTGTCCTCATTCAGCAGCAGAGTCGTGTAGTTGAAGACATCCGGCTCCCAAAACTCCAGCAGATCCACATCTACACACACACACACACACACACACACACACACACACACACACACACACAAACAGATTTTAGTGTGAGCTGTGGGTTGGTAAAATAAACGAGAGCACACAAATGAGCAGGCTGAAACGCACTGGCTGTAGTAGTGGAGTATTTATATTCTGCGTATGTATTTGTATATTTGAGCTTGTGCATTCATGGATGGAGTTTTATGTCTTGCTGGCACACTTCAGTTTGTGTCTCTCTGTGTGTGTGTGTGTGTGTGTGTGTGTGTGTGTGTGTGTGTGTGTGTGTGTGTCTCGATAAACTTGCATCTCTCAGGTTGCGAGTTTTAGGCAGAGACCCAACAGACACAGAAAACTGAAGCCCTGACAGGGCGTTTAAAAGCCGTGTGTGTGTGTGTGTGTGTGTGTGTGTGTGTGTGTGTGTGTGTGTGTGTCAATATACTTGCATCTCTCAGGTTGCACGTTTTCGGCAGAGACCCAAAAGACACCGAAAAGTGAAGCCCTGACAGGACGTTTACGAGACTTGTGTGTGTCTTTGTGTGAGTGTGTATTAAACTGTATATACATGTGCATGAGTCAGAAACAGAAGTGTACTACAGCTTTATTGTGCGTTCTATACATTATAATGTGTTAAAGAAGGTTATATATTAGTCAAAACAAGAAACATTGCAGGTATTCAGTCACAAGGGTCATTTTCATTTTTTAAACACAAACTTTGGAAATTCTTTGGAAATTACCACAAATCCCAAACAGGGGGAACAACTAAATAAATATATAAAGCTTGAAGAATCAATACTTGAAAAATTTATAAATAAATTAAAGAAAGAAATCAAGAAAATATATAAATAAAAACAAAATAAATAAATAAAAACAAAATAAATTAATATAATACAATAAAGAAATGAATATAAAAAATAAAATAAAAGCAAAATAAAACTAAATAAAAACAAGATAAATAAATATAAAATATGTAATAAATAAATAAATGTGAAAAAAAGCTAAATAAATACAAAAATTTTATAAATAAATAAATAAAAACTAAATAAATAAAAACTAAATAAATAAATATAAAAGTGTAATAAATGAACAAATAAAAACAAAAATAAAAATAAATAAATAAATAATAAACAAACAAATAAATAGATGTATGTGTGTGTGTGTATATATATATATATATATATATATACACACACACACACACACACATATATATGTATGTATATAAAATATATATATATATATATATATATATATATATATATATATCTCTCTCACACATATATATATATATATATATATTATATATATTTTTTATATATATA